TTTATAGACTTTTCCCAATAATGGGTTGAATCACAGCCTTGTACAGAAGATGATAAAATAATCATCATAAAAGTCAGAGACAAACAATATAGAGGAGCAGATTAAATGTCAAATAATTCTTAGTACATTCAAACAGGAAACCTTCACATGGAAAAATAAAAGTTTTGTGTGTATGGTGCCTGCACAGGGTAGGTCTGAGTATCAAGCCTTGCAGAACTCCCCAGTCAAATCCAATCACAAAGAACTCACAAGCCAGACCATTAGGCCACCAATCAAACTGCAAGTAAAAACTTGCTTAATTTTGCCAGGGACTCTCAACAACAGCCAGTCTTTTCCCAACTATTAATAAGACTATTCAGTGCTCCAATTCAATACAAGAACTAGTAGTCAGTAGGTTACAGCCTTGCTACTTCTTTCAAACTTTGTGTCATTAGAAAAAAGCAAATAGACTTCTCCGCCTCTGCATGTGCACATGAACATCCCCTTCCCTGGAACACTTGACCCACATCTTTCCATGTATTTAATATCCGAACCCTGCAAAGTTCAGTTTAGTCCCTTCTCCATGAAACTGTTTTTCATCTGCCCAAACATACAGTGATCATTCCTTTCTCGGCATCTCTGCAGATCCTCAATACCGCAAGAAAGCAGCAACAGACTAACCCAAACCTTCCCTTCAGAAGTATGCCAGAGCCCAGACCTAACATCAAGTCTGAAATCAGAAAGTAGACTGGAAAGATGAAGAAACAAACAAAAAAAAGAATCCCACCATAGGACACTCAAGAAACAAACACAGAAAAGAATGGCTCCAAAACATCCACAATCATTGCTTTGGAGAAAAACATAACTTGGGCACAAACCCAATTAGAATTCCTGGAAGAGATGAAGCAAGAGTTTTAAAAAAGAGTTTAAAATTTTTTTTGATAAATGAAGTGAGAGTGCTTGAGGAAAAAAAAACTGTAAAGGAAATGAGAGCTATGGAAGAAAGAAAGAGAAAGGAAATTAACAGCTTGGCACAAGAGGTACAAACCCTTGCCCAGGCAAAAGATTCACTGAAAATTAGAATAGACCAAATGGAAGCCAATGATTCTAAAAACAAACAAAAAGATATTAAGACAAAGGCAAAAGGCTGAAAAAACAGAGAAAATGTAATATATCTTACAGCAAAATCAACTGAACCGGAAAACAGCCTGAAGAGGAAAAAATTTAAGCATCACTAGAATATCTGAATACTATGTCTAGAAAAAGAGCATAGACATTATATTTTTACAACCCTCCCCCACTAGACATATTTTAAGAAATGTTAAAAGAAAACCACCTAGGATCAATGGGGTAGATTAAGTACACAATACACAGTAGTAAATTACCATAGTAATTTAATGTTTGATAAACCCAAAGATCCAAGCTTTGGGGGCAAGAACTTACCATATGAGCAAAATTGCTGGGAAAACTGGAAAGCAGTTTGGCAGAAACTAATTATAGACCAACATTTTACAATGCATACCAAGATACGGTCAAAATGTGTACATTATTTAGACATAAATGGTGATATCATAAACAAATTAGGGAAGCATGGAAAAATTTACCTGTCAGATCTTTGGATGAGGGAAGAGTTTACGAGTAAACAAAAGAGACAGACTCAGGGGAAGAAAAATGGATAATTCTGATTACGTGAAGTTTAAAAGTTTTTGCATGAACAAAACTAATACAGCAAAAATTAGAAAGAAAACAGAATCAGGGAAAAACTTTATAGCAAATTTCTCTGAAAAGACTTCATTTCTCAAATATACAGGGAACTGAGACAAATTTATAAAAAGAAGAGACATTCCCTAATTTATAAATGGTCAAAGGATATGAACAGGTAGTTTTCAGATGAAGAAATCAAAGTTATCAATAGTCACATAAAAATGCTCTAAATCACCATTGATTAGAGAAGTGCAAAGTAGAACAACTCTGAGGTACCGTCTCATACCTACGAGATTGGCTAACATGGCATAAAAGGAAACTCCAAATGGTGGAGGAGATGTGGAAAAATTGGGACACTAATGCACTATTACTGGAGTTGTGAATTGGTCCAAACCGTTCTGGAGAATACTTGGGAACTATGCCCAAAGGGCTATAAGACTATGCATACCCTTTGACCCTGAAATACCACTACTATGTCTGTATATCAAAGAAAAAGGAAAAGGACTTATATGTATGAAAATATTTATAGTAGTTCTTTTAGTGGTAGCAAAGAATTAGAAATTAAAGGGATGCCCATCAACTGGGGAATGGCAGAACAAGTTGTGGTATATGATTGTGATGGAACACTATTGTGCTTTAAGAAATAACAAGCAGGTTGATTTCAGAAAAAACCTGGGAAGACTTGATATGAACTTTTATACGAACTTTATATGGAAAGTGAAGTAAGAACCAGAACAGTAGACACAATAACAACAATATTGTAAAGATGATCAACTGTGAAAGACAACTATTCTAATCAACATAATGATCCAAGCCATTTCCAAAGGACTCATGATGAAAAGGGCTATCCACCTCCAGGGAGAGAACTGGTAAACTCTAAGCGCAGATTGAAGCACACTTTTTTCACTTTCTTAATTTTTTGCAACATGGCTAATATGGAAATATGTTTTGCATGACTTCACATATATAGCTGATATTGTATTGCTTGCTTTCTCAATTGGTGGAAAAGTGGCTGGAGGAAGGGAGAGAATTTAAAATTCAAAATTTTTAAAAACGGATGCTAAAAATACATACATACATACATTTTTAAAAGAAACAAAACTACTCAGATCTCTTAGAACCAGAGGACGAAGTGGAAATAGATAGAATCTACCACTCACTTGCTGAAAGAGGCTCCAAAATGAAAACTTCCATGAACATCATAGCCAAAATCCAGCAGAAAGAATTCAAGTATCAAGGAATCACAGTCAGGATCACACATGATTTGGCAACAACCCTATAAAGGAGCAGAGAACCTGGAATATAATATTCCAGAAAGCAAAGGACATATGCCAACAGCCAAGAATAATGTACCTAGCAAAAGTGAGTATAATGCTACAAGAGAAAAAACAAACTTTTAATGAAACAGAAGACTTCCAAGCATTCCTGATGAAAAGGGGAAGGAAGGGCATAAATATTTACAAAGTACCCACTATATGCCAGACACTATGCTAAGCACTTTTTACAAATATTATTTCATTTGATCCTCACAACAACTCAGAAAGTAACAACAACTCAGAAAGTAGGTGCTATTATTATCTCCATTTTACAGCTGAAGAAAATGAGGCAATCAGAGATTAAGTGATTTGCCCAGGGTCACAGGGCTATTAAGTGTCTGAGGCATAATTTGAACTCAGGTCTTAATTCCAGGCCTGCCATTCTATCCCATTGTGCCACTGGCTACCTCCAAAAAGAACTGAAAAGACCAGAACTGTGAAGAAAATCTGAAGTTCAAACACAGTAGTGAACATAAAGAAGCAAACATGGAGGAATAATCTTAAAGGACTACACAAGGATGAACTGCTCACATTCAAATATGGGGAGATGACACACGTGTGCCCTCTGAAACCTATCAACATCAGGGGACAAGCCCTGGGAGTGGTCTTATTATGTCTTGATGATCTTAAGAAAGGAAGGGAAAGAGAAGGGAAGAAGAATACAACAGGGGTGAGGGGTAAAGGGAAAGGAAGGTTAGGGAAAATTAAAACTCACACAATCAGGGTGTATAGACATCTATACAAACAAGGAGAGAAAGAGACGACACTTGAACCTCAGTCTCATCCGACTTGGGCAAAAGAAGGAAGACTACACACAAACACACAAACACACATGCACACACGTACATACACAGCTGGGTACAGACATGCATTTCACTCAAGAGGGAGAGAGAAGGGAATTAAAGGGAGGAAAAAATTAAAGGAGAGATTAGTCCTAAGGGAAACAAACTCTAAGGAGGTACAGAAATACTTTTAACTCTTTTTCAGGTGGCAAAGGATGGGAATCTGAAGGTGTGCCCATAAACTGGGGAAGGGATGAACAAGTTATGGTATTTAAATGTGATAGAACACTATAGTGCTGAATTCTTATCAGAGTAATGACCAGTCAGGATTCCAGACGACTAATGATGAAACATGTTACCCACCTCCTGATACAGAGATGGACTCAATACAAAATGAGATGATTTTTTTTGACATAGCTAATGTGGAAATTGGTTTCAATTGACAATTGCCCACACACCACAGTCTGCTCGTCTAAAAATCTTGGTATCAGTCACCTGAAATTATAGAACTGCTGAATGACAGAAGTGAAAGGCACAACAGAGATCAGCTGGTCTCACCTACTCATCTGTACAGATGAGGAGCTGTAGGACAGGGAGATGAAGTAACTTATCCATTCTGCTAAGAATGGATAATAAGCCAAAGAGCCAGGAACTGATCCTATAAGCTGACTCTTTGTCCAGTGCTCTTTCCATTATACTACAGCTGCATCTCAGAATCACAGGATATCAGAGCTAGAAGGACATGTGAATGAGTTGAGAGCATCAAGCCTAATCACTTCATTTTACAAATAGGGAGACCAAGGTACAGAGAGGAGAGAGCAGGTTGAGTGCTGGATGAAAAGATGCTACGATTCTCGTCCTGATTCTCTATCGTTAACTCGTTGCATAACTCTATGCCGTCATTTCACTTCTCTGGGCCTCATATTTCTCATCTGTTAGATGAGGAATTTCGACCAGATCTCTAAGGTGCTTCCAACTCTAAAATTCTATGATTCTATGAAGTCCCTGACCCCAAGTCCCATAGCTAGTTAGTAGCTGGACTAGAATTAGACAATCTCCTCATTCAGTACTCCTTCCCTAGGTAGGAGCTGATTACAATAGACAAAAAATAGAAAACTTTAGAATCTCTTAGAGCCAATGAGGCTTCTGAGGCCAAGATTAGGCTTCTCAACCAACCATATAAACCCACAGGAGAGAACACTAGAAAATCAGCACTTACCAGCTGGGCTGATCTCTGCTTCTCCTGATTCATGCCCTTCTTCTCCCATGGAAGGGATGACTTCAGGTGCTCCCTGGCCACCTCCTTTTCTCTCTTCACCAGATGAAGTAGCTCTTCTCGGATCATGGCCTGTTCCTGTTCATATCTGTGCCAAGAGAGAATGGGGGTAGACGCAGATACAGAGGCTATAACTGGCAGGATTCAGCCAGGGACTGTGCATACTGCCATGGGCTAGCAGGGTGGGGATGGGATTTGTCTGGCCATAGAACTCAGCAACATGGAAGGAGACCTATAGCCTGAAGCAAGGTTCTAAAAGGGGGGAATGATTAAGGGACTATTTGGCTCTGGAGGGCAGTTCTGTTCCATTAGTTAGTTATCTTTAAACCAATGAGTAGAAAATTCACCCCATCCCACTCTGATACCCCTATCCTCTAGTGTTGGAAATATCAAAAATGGCACTCAAGGAAAAGGCCCATACTCATACCAGCATTTATGACATTACATGCTCCAGGGGGAAAAGCCAATTGCGTATATTACATGAGAAAATATAAGTATACAAATGCAAGAATCTGAGAATTTCAAACGTACATCAGTCAGAGAGCAGCACTAAAGCCAGAAAGGCTTCAAAGATTGAAGGCTCCAATCTTTCCCCTCGGTACTATTTCCCTGAGTGTTAGAATATGGGAACTTGAATGTTTCAGATGCCATCAGCACCTTTACTCAAAACTTTGACTATTCAAATTCAGGATGGATGGAGACTATTCCTATTAATGATAGACTGGCGAGGACCAGGGTTAAGGGATACAGTCCTTAGTATACAGAAAGTACATCACCTAACACGGATATTAAACCCTTGGACTTGGTTCCTACCCTAGGATAATTGCTCTCATTAGTTAGCCAGTCTTCTTAAAGGCCATGCAGAAGGAAAATGAGCCTCCAAATCAAAGGGTCAATCAGAGATTTCTTGTTAAGAGTCATCAACATCCTTAGGCTAATAAGGCACCAGAGGCCAGGCTTGATTCAGCCAGTTAGAAGGCACAGTGTAAGGGTTTTTACATTTGGGCATGGTAGGGTCCCAGCTTCTTCCCTTTTATTCTTCCCCAATTACTACTACAAATACATTTAAACACTGTCTCTACCTAACCCTCTAGAAAGCACCAGGTCACTTTAAAAGGTCATTAAGATGGTGATTACGTGTGTATAAATGTTTGATTCTTAGCTTTCCCTAAAAATAAATTTTTTTCTATTTCTTTAAATAATCCATTCTTTCTACCCCAAATGAAAACAGTCCTCTGGCAAAGGCAAGCTCCCAGAGTGAAAGAAATGCCATCAGCCCTAGCCAAAGCCCTACATAAAGATTTCCCTCATGAGGGAGAAGAAATGAAGGCTAAGGATATAGCTCCACTTGGGAGAAAGCAAGGTGTCCAGAGAAAAAGAATACCCTCCAAAGGAAGAGAAGTACCATCAACCAACAAGAATTTATTAAGCACCTACTATATGTAAGACACTGGGAACACAAAGACAAAAGTAAAACAAAACCTATTCTCACGAAGCTTAAATTCTATTAGGGAAGACAAGTACATATATAAGTATATAGAGAATAAATATAAAGAGAATAAATACAAATAAATACAAGGTAGCTAAACACAGGGTGGTTTGGAGGAGAGAAGCATCAGAAAGGCTTCATGTAGCAGGTGATGCTTGAGATGGGTCCTGAACAAAGAGAAGAATTTTGTGAAGTAGAGGTGGGGAGACAATGCCTTTAAGGCATAGGGGGATGACCAGTACAAAGACACAGAAAAGAAATCTCTGTGTCATGTGATTACACCAAGAGATTCTGAGATGAAGAGAAGCCAAGAAGAGCCAGCTTATGTTAAAAGGCCTCAATTTTTTTTTCTGTAAACAGAGAGAAGGCCAGTTTTCCTGGACCTCTGCCTACAGTGGGAGGGGGAGTAATGTACAATGAGGCAGGAAAAATCAATTGGACAAGTTTGTAAAGGTCTTTAAAACCTAAACAAGTGAGTTTTATTTTATCCTAGAGATAACAGGGAGGCGCCATAGACTAGTGAGTGGGGGAATGACATAATGAGACCTGTACTTAAGGAAAATCCCTTTGACAGCTGTGTGGCAAATGGACTGTAGTGGGAAGACACCTGAGGAGGGTGTCAATCAATGAGGAAGCTATTGTAATAATCTAGACACCAAGTGGTAAGGGCCTAAATTAAGGTGGTAGCTATGTGCCTACAGAGACGGGGTCAGAGATGAGAGAGGTTGTGAAGGTAGGAACTGAAAGTTTTGGCAACTGGTAAATATGTGAGATGAGTGAGAATTATATTGAGATTCTAAGCCTGAGAAAACTGGAAGAACAATGACGACTTCAACAGAAACAATCAAGTATGAAAGAGGGGTGGGTTTTGGGTGAAAGATAAATTCTGTTGTGGACATGATGAACTTTAAATGTCTCTGAGATAATAGTTTAAAATGGCCAACAGGAAGCTGGCAATAAATGGACAAAAGTTTAGAGGAAAGACTGGATGGATATATAGATCTGCGAATCATTTGTACAGAGATGATAATTAAACCCATGAAAATCCATTAGGTCACCAACAGAGTGTTGTGAGAAGACCTAGGACAAAGCCTGGAAGAACATTCACAATTAGAGGGTGTGATATGGGTGACTCTGGCTCTGGAGGGCAGTTCTGTTTCATTCCCCCACTCACTAGTTATCTTTAAACCAATGAGTAGAAAATTCACCCCATCCCACTCTGATACCCCATTCTCTAGTGTTGGAAATACCAAAAATGGCACTCAAGGAGAAGGCCCATACACATACCAGCATTTATGACATTACGTGCTCCAGGAGACTCAAAAGGAGTGGTCAGATAAGTAGGAGGAGAACCAAGAGAAAACAGTGTCATAAAATCCCAGAAAGGAAAGTGTATCCAGGAGAAGAAGGTGGTAGACAGTGTCAAATGCAGCAGAGAAGTCAAGTGGGATGGGGACTAAGAAAAGGAAACTAGGAGATCATTGCTTACTTTGGAGAAAGCAATTTCAGTTTAGTAATAAGGTCCAAAGCCAGACTGCAAAGGGATGAGAAATAAGTGAGAGAAGACGAAGTGAAGGCAAAGAGTGCAGACAGCTGAGAAGGAGAAGAGAGCCTGAAGGGACAGGTTCCAGTGAAGGTTTTTTTAAGGATGGTAGACATTTGGGTACATATGAAAGCAGCAAGTAAGAATTTAGTAGCTAGGAAAAACCTGAAGATTAGAGATCAAGGGGATAAGTGAGGAAGGATTCTACTGGAAAAGACACGAGGAGATGAGAACAAGAGCACGTGCTGAGAAGGTAGCTTTGAAAAAGGACCAGCCCTTTGCCAGGGACTGGGGAAAGAAGAAGAAAGTGGGTGATGATACTAAGAGACTCTGAGATGAAGAGAAGGTAAGAAAAGCGAGTTTATGTTAAAAAGCCTCATTTTTTTTTCTGTAAAACAAGAGGTAATATAACTTAGCTGACAGTATGGGAGCACAGAGAGTTAAGTGTTAGAGGCATGAGGGGAGAGGGAGATTGGGATACTTTGTAAGGAAAGTGAGACAGGCAATCAATGAGGGAAGAACAGCTAAGAGTAGTGGTATGTGCCTGTAATCTCCTGCTCTGGGGAGGTTGACACCAATGGCATTCGAGTTCAGGATTTCTGAACTGCAGTAGCACTAAAGCTGACTGGGTACCTACACTAAGTCTAGCACAAAGATGGTGAGCCCCTGGGAGCAGTGAGCTACCAGGATGCCAAAGGAGGAGCTAGTTGGCTCAGGTGAGAAATGGAGCAGGTCAAAGCTTCTGTGCAATGGCGATGGAGCCCATGAGTGGCCACTGCACTCCCAGCCTGGGAAAGACAAGGAGACCAAGTCTCAAAAAAATAAAACAACAACAAAATCAGAGAAGAGTAAAAAGGATTGCTTTACTAGAGTTAGGGCCCAGTTAGACAATGAATTTATGGTGTACCCAGTCAGCATGTTTCCTTGTCTTCCCTCATCTCTATTCAGTAGCACATGAGTAAGAGTAGAGGGGGCAGATGGTAGAAGTGATCCAGGACAGGGATTTGGCAAGGGATGAGGACCAATAGGCCAAGAGGAAAAGATATTAAAAAACTGATTACTATCAATGACCCCCAGAAAACTGGACCGAGGACAGAAGGGGTTTACATGCCCTTACCTCCTGTACAGATCCTCTTCTGCTTCAGAGGGCTGCCAGCTGCTCTGGCTCTCAGTTTTGGGGGGTTTAGGGTCTATAAGAGGTAGAACACAAATGATCAATTATCAAAGGGAAGAAGGCAAGGTAATAAAAGACACACAGAGGTACATTAACCATCTCAGGAAGTTCTTGAAAGGGAGACTGAGAATTTAAATTTCCCTAAACCACCTACTTCTCATTCTCCTATCCAATGACTTCCCTTCTACCATGCTATGGTTTGCCAACAAGTACAAATAATCTCTATAGCTAAACATTCCAAAGTGATTATCATATCTCCAACTGGCTGTGAAATCTGAGTCTTTTACTGTGCAAAGCCCAAGAACCTAAGAAAAAATATATTTATATATATATCCGTATATATGTATATATTTATACATATACACACATATGTATATATGTATGTGTATATATGTGTGTGTGTATATATTATATATATGTATATGTATGTATATATATGTATATGTATGTATAAACATAAGAATATCCATCTGGATCAGTCTCTTGATTCACCTGACCAAGTATCTATTTCTGACCAGGACACTAACTGATGAGTTGGGAAAGGCCTATCCACCATGATGAAAACTTCAAAGATTAGGGCTGTACTGTAAACATTCTAGTTTCCTTAGAATGACCCATTACTGATTTATTATCTTGACTTTATCTAGACCCTTCTTGAACCTACTCATATTTTTAGGCTGCCCCATCTCTTGGGGGAAGTGAGTTCCAAAAATTTACTCCTATCTATGTAAAATGCAGCATAGTCTTTTTAATTTATCTCTTTGTAGTTTTAAGAGGTTGCTCTCACTCTAGAGTTCTGAGATTGAGTAAATAAATCTATGTTTATCCAGGAAAAGGCAGTTGCTATGAGATAAGAAAAACCCTGAAGCTGTAATCAAAGAGACCTGGATTTGAAACTGGCTTTGATATACTTACAAATTCTGTGACCACGTCTTAGTAATCTCAGTAGGCCTTAATTTCCTCATCTATAAAATGAGGATAATAATACTTGTACTACGTAACTCACAGGATTATTGTGGAGGAAAACAGTAACATGAGTTATTATTATGTCCACCTTTGTCATCCCTCTCATAGTCCTTGGACTTTAATCATTTTTCCTTCTCAGGCTCATGGCTTCCCAAACTGAAGTCCTAATTTTTTTTTCAGTCTGTCTTCATAAGGCAATCCCCCCACCTACCTGAGCACATTAACTGCCCTCCACTTGCACCACATTAACTGCCCTCCTTCAGTGACATTAAGGCTTTCTTGATGCTCAACAACTAGAATGACAAGAATTATTCCAAAGGTATAAGTATTATACCTTTGGTTTTCTATAAGGGTAAGACAGTATTTGACTTTGTTTTTTATCCTCTAAGGAATAATGCATTTAACAACTTGAATATTCAACCTTCCAGGGATTTCCTTCCAGAATTAACCATCTTCTAACATCCATTCTCAAACCAACTTTCACAGGCAGTAAACTAGGTTGCCATGCCCTTAACTGGGAGGAGGAAAAACCTTAAAAGACTCTGTATAGCAATATTGCTAGGTTTCCAACTTTATGTGAAATAAACTGTACTGGCTTTTAATTTGGCGGAAATGGTTTTCACTTCTATTCATAAAATGAAAGATTAACTGATTAAGGAAACATCAAAATTGCTTTAAATTTGAAATCAATATATTAAATTCTTTAGTCAATTTCAAAATATAAATTTATATACAGCATTTTTCCTTCACAAATTCTATTAAGAAACTATGACCAAAATCCACACCCATTCAATAAAAAAGCAAAACATTTCATAACAACTAAAATTGAATAAATAATAACAAAATAAATGAATCATTATTGTTCAAGCTGCTAAACTTGCCAACTGAACAAAATCCTTCCTATTTCTACAAAAAGTACAACTAGTAAATATGGGTCCCTGGCAATTGTCTTTTATTTGTCTCTTTCGAGTTTGGAGGAATAACCATTATTCTAGAGTTCTGAGATTAAGTAAACAAATGTGGGTCTCTCTGGGAGAGGCAGCCATGGTGTAGTGGAAGAAGCCCCGAATTAGGAAACATAGGTTTGACTCATGGCTTCACACTAGCTGTGTGAAGACTGGCAATTCACTAACCCTGAGTCCCAATTTTCATGTCTATATAATGGAGAAAATAAAACTTGCATTACTTACCTCATGGGTAAAGAAAACACTTTGTAAAACTGAAAGAGTTATATAAATGCGAGTTATTATTATGATGGTTGCCAAGTATATACTGCATAGGGTTGTTATGAGGATCAAATAATATATGGGAACCTTAATATGCATGTCAGCTATTAGTATGCTCTTAGGGATTATGTCTTAGGTATCTCTGTAGGTGCTGCAGAGCCTAGGACAGGTCATTGCGCAGAGTAGTCACTAAATATGTGTCTGGCGGATTCTCCCTAGACTGCTACATGCCAGGTATCCATGATTTAATATAGTCTCTAAAAAAACTTTCCAAAATATTACAGGAATTATGAATATGTATCAAACACAATCTCTGCCCTCAAGGAACATCATCAAGTAGGAGAAACAAGACACGTGCAAAGATAATTACAATACAAGGTAGCATGTGACGTGCTCTATTACAGTTGATGGAGTGGTAGGGGAACAACTGACTTGACCTCTAGCAGTCACTCATTGGGCAAGGGGCTTCCCTTCTGAGGCAGAGCTACTCTACCAGCCAATCAAAAACAACAGCTTTTGGGTATATCTAGTCTGAAGTAAAACCTGAATTTCCACAAACTAGGTCATCAATCCTGGCTTTGCTACTTATTAGTTGTGTGGCCTTGGGCAAGTCATTTGGCTTATTAGGGCCTCTGTAAAATGAGAGATCGGACTGGATGCTTTTCTTCGGCCTTGTCTCCTGCTTCTTATTAATGGTCAAGACTTGGGAAAAGCTCACACAACTCTGTGTGTTTTGGAGAGAATTCAGTAAGGGGCCAAGTAGTCATAGAGACCCAATGCAGATCAACTAAAATCCAAGGAAACAAGGAGTATTGAATAAAACTGAAATATAATGCAGTGTGTAATGGAAAAAATACTGACTGAGTAATCAAAAGACACAGGTTCTAGTCCTAGAGGTCTATCAGCAATCCCCACTCTGGATCTCAGTAAGGGTTGGACTAAATAATCTCCAAGGTCTCTTTCACTCCTAACATTTTGCTATTTTCAGAGTATCTACTGGTGGCAATAAAATGTAAAGGAAATATAATTCATTCACAGAAGCCTGGGAAAGAACTGTGACTTCATGGCAGTTGGACTTTGAACACTAGAACTAGGGGATGCTGCCAGGCAAAGGCTATGATGCCACTGACTGGAATGCAATCCTTTTAAAAATAACATTAAAATTTATCCCATTCTAGTGATAAAACAACAACCAAATGTACTGGCACTGCCTCCTACAGAGACTCCAAACACTTAGGGACAAATATTTGCCTTCAGTTATGGAAATAATGTTATCTTCTCTACTTTTTACAGAAAGAATTTGAGACAGAATGAAGGGAAGAGTTTGGCCAAAATCACATAGAGGCTCTGACCATTAACACAGAAATTTCTCTATACCCCACCAAGAAGCAGGATCCCACCATACATTTAAATTCAAAGAATACCATCCTGTGATAAATATTAAAAAAGGCCCATGATCTCATAAATTTGAGAGTTTCCTCCAGTGATGCAGGTCACAATCTGCCTATTCTTTGTTATTCCTATTCATGTCCTCATAGCACTTCTTAAACCAGGAAGGGGGTGGGGGGGGGGGAAGGGGAGGGTGAGATCCACAGTTTAAGAACTGCTGAAGTAATCACAAGTGGAAAAAGTTTAAGAAGCCCTGCTCTAAAAAGTATCACAGGAGGTCTACCTGGAATGCCTTCCTTACTTCCTCCAAACATCTCAAGGGTACCAATACTCTAGCTGTCTGCCTGTCATCCCTCACTCTTGCCATATGACCAACTCATATTCTCTTCCCATTATGTAATTTGTTGATAACACTGTCTAGTCCTTTTCTTTTCTAGAGTTTCTCATTGGTCACATCCTACAGCCTGCCCCCACCCACTACATACCTCTCCATTGCCCTCTATATGATTACTCTTATCTCATTATCTGAAGGAAGTGATCTTCTATGTCTTGCTGCCATATAGCAATATCAATGAAATTTTTGTATTGAAAAGACAAGCCTTTGTATTCCAGGGAAACTTAAGGACAGAAAAAAAAAATTCTGCAAAGTGATAGAAAGGGAAAACATACCCAACAAAGCTGAACACAAAAGCCACCCAAATATGGAATAGTAGTTCAATAGTAGTAATGAGTAATTTCTCAATCATCTTTTTTTTTTCCTCTTTCCCTAGGATCTCCCAGTAATCTACCATACCTGTCCTAGGATGCTTTGACTTGCCTTCTGGAGAGCCAAATATAAAAGATGAAGAATGAGAAAATGAAGGAGGAGGTGGTGAAGTATGAAGTGACGAAGCAGCAGGTGGTGAAGTAGATGTCGAAGCAGGAGGTGGCGATGCAGGAGATGGCTGTTGCACCTTTGAAGATGCAGACGGGTCCTTCATACGATTAACTACATCTTCAGAGAGCTATGGGGGGAAAAGCAAGGGGAGGGAGACAGGAAAAAGGGAACAGTTAAGGAATAGTTATAAAATAACTACAGCCCACCACAAAGACCTTACCTCTTCCAAATGGAGGACAGGTAACACTTTTTCTGTTTTACAGAGAAAAGTTGGCATATGGTTCTCAAGAAAACAGTTCACAAGTTCTTAGAGAAAACTGTAGATCAACTAAGAATAAACATTCCAAGTCAATTCAGTTAAACAATAATTTATTAAATGCCCATTCTATCATGCCTTCTGAAAACTCTAGTCTGGTTAAACTCTGATTTATGTGAGGTCTCGTCAGCTCACATTCCTTCCATCTTCTGGCACTCACAGATACCTCAGAAAGTCACAGCCACTGTGGGGCCCATCTCCAATGCTAGGTGCTCCTTCTTTCATGCCCTGATCCCCTTGGCTAAGACAAAAAGAAGGCATACTCCTTGATTCTCAGCCCCCACTTCCAGGTCCACTCATCCAATTCTATCATCTGTTCCAGATCTTTATTGCCACTGATCCCCCTTCCTTCTCAAGAAGCCTAGCACCTGGCTCAGAACTGTCCTATCTACCCCAAATCCCTGTTTTCATATTGAAATATTTCAATATACTCACCGATGGTTACTTGAATATTCTGGCCTCCCAGGTCGATACCCTTAAGTTTCATGACCTACACTTTCATTTCATGTCAGTTGCCTATAGACATGGGTCTCACCATTACTTATAACTGTGCAACACTTCCATGGTCTTCAACTCTGAAATGATCTTCTCCCTGATCATAACATCCCATACCTCCCATCTTTGTTTTTCTGACTGAAACAGTTCACATTTATTACTACCCACTGAACCACACACAACCCCAAGTCTAGTGCTCAAGATGGGATAAACAGCACATTTACATAATCTTATGAATCCAACCCTCTTTCAACAACCCAGAATCCAATGTCCCTGCACTCAGTTATTATTACTCTTGACATCTCTCAAAGGCTGAAGAACGGAAGGTAGGCAGCAAAATGAGTAGTGTTCTATCAGTTCTCCAGGCAAAAAACTCAGCAATAATAAAGGTGTCAAGGGCAGAGGGGGATGGAGGCCCTGGTGGTTCACTAAGTCTTTACTGCTGTATCTCTGGATTTGTAGACCATGCCTCAGCTCTTTAGTTCCCAAACAATTCCTTGAGGCAAGCGACCAGTGATAGACATTGCATAAACTCCAGGCTTGAAGTTACTAACTCACTGCCATTTAGAGATCCAGCTGTCCTCCAAACTCATCACTGCAATGATCTCATCAAAAGAAGAGCTTGTACAGTCATACACCATTTCTCGAATACCTGTCATCTGTAGGTATGAGGCGCAATTTATCACAGCCATCATACTCAAATTGGTCTATAGTCTTGACCAGGGAACAGAGAAGACAAGCTCGCAGATGTCACAAATCCTTGGAAACTGTGTCCAATGCCATCGCTGCCTCCCAGAGCCGAATAAAACTTTACCAACCACAGTCAAAAACCTATACCTCCCATCTTTCTCTTCACTTACTATACCTATTCTTTGTCCTCACTGTGACTTCCAGTTCCTTTATCTTTCTCAGTTCTCTCAGGTCATCCTTGCACTAGCCTCATTTTTTTTCTGGTCTTCACAGGCATAACCCAGTGGTTTTTTTTCTTAGATTCAATATCTGAGTAAAACAAGCATTTAATTAAGCATCTCCTGTTTGTCAGCCCTGTGCTAGGTACTAGGGCTATAAAGCCAAAAAAAAAAAAAAAAGCCAACCAGCCCCTGCCCTCAAGTAGCTTACATTCCACTTGGGAATTAGAGGGGAAAAATATGCACAAAAAAATAAAAATGAAAAATAATTTCCTAGGGGAAGGCACTAGCAACTAGAGACAATCATGATGATCTTCTAGTTAGAAGTGGCTGAGCTTTGAAGGAAGTTAAAGATCCTATGAGACTGGGATGAGTAGGAAATGCATTCTAGGTATAGGGAAAGACCTGTTCAAAGGCACAGACCCAGAAGAAGGAATATCAAAAATGAGGAACAGCCAATAGGCCAGTTAGACTGTAACATACAGTGCATGAAGGAAAGCAATGTGCAACAAGACTGAAGAAATGGCTATAGCCAGGGTGTGGAGAGTTTAAAACAGCAAACAGAGAGGTTTATATTTTATCCTCATAGCTCCAATAGGAGATACCTGAGCTTCTTGAACAGGGAAACCCACATGGTCATCACTGTGCTTTAAGAATGTCAATTTGGCAGCTCTGTGAAGGGTAGATTAGACAGGACCAGCACCTGGCAGTAGTGAGAACATTTAGGAGGCTACTGCAATAGTCCAGGAGAAAGGCGATATGGGTCTGAAAATGGGTAGTAGCCATGCTAGTGGGCCAAAGGAAATATTGTGAGAAAGATATATTGTGGAAAGACCACTGATACAGCACTTGGCAACTGACTGAATGTGAGCGATGATGGTAGGGAGAAAGTTGAAGATTACTCTTGAGAAACTGAGTGATTGAAAAGGTTGAGTCTAAGATGCCTACATTAAGCTGGAAATCCCAAAAGGCAGCTGGTGATATGGCATTAACCTTCAGAAGAGAGGCTAGGACTGAATACATACATCTGGGAGCTGTCTGCAGAGAGGTGATAAGTTCATGGGAGTTGATGAGATCAACAAGAGAGTATATAGAGAGAAGTAGGTCCAGGGCAGAGTCTTAGAGTACACACATTCACAGGATACAGGGCAAGAATGATTATCCAACAAACTAAGAACGAGTGGCCAGACAGCTTGAAGGTTCGGCAAAGAATAAGAAGTTATAGGACGAGGAGGTTCAAAAACACATCTAAAGGAACAAAGAAGGGAAATGGTAGGAATGGTACAGGAGGTATGAATAAGGATGAAAAGCAAAAGAACTGGTTGATCATTTCAACTATCTATTGTCTTTCTACCCTTGAATTCTTGCCTCTTTATCCTGAAGAAGTTTGCCTCCTACTAAGAAATATAACATGTACCACAGATAAATAAATTCAACACAAATTAAGGAAGATCAGAGCATTAACAAGTATCAATCAATAAGCATGTTAAGCTTCCTTCTAAGATGGCCTCCCACATACCTGCCCACATACCTAACCCAGCAAGATCTTAAAGTTTGAACCAGGCTGAATAATGTTCAAGAAATCCAATGAGAAACTACAGTAAATGATTTCTTCCACTCCACAACTGCACAAAAAGCCAGCCAGGTACCTCCTTCCTCTCCCACTTTTCCCAAGTAAAACCAGAATCAGGATAGCCTCTCAGCAGAGAAGTAAGCACTGACAAGCAGAATACTTTTGAAAGTAGTACATAGAATTTATTATGTGCTTTTTTTAAAGCAAGTAACATAAGATGGAGATTTAATTTCATAAAGAATCATCTGTTTGTGTTCTGTTACATGTATGAAAATACTCTGATTTTGGTGTTTCAGTTCAAAATGAAAAATAAAGCAACAACTATTTACTTAGTACTTATGATGTGCCAGGCATTGTGCTAAGCACAGGAAATACAATAAGTATCTGTCTTCAAAGAACTTATATTCTAATGGAACTTATATTCTATGACATAACACGAATATATATGTATACATGTATTTAAATAATATATACCAAGTCAATAGAAGGTAGCATATTAGAAGCTGGGAGAATCTGTAAAGGTTTTCTGCCAAAGGTAGTGCTTGAGCTGATTCTTGAAGTAAACTAGAGTTTCCAAGAGATGGAGGTAAGGAAGGAGTCAGGTAGGCACAGGGGACAGCCAATGCAAAAGAATAGAGACAGGAGGGAGCATGACATATGCACAGAACAAGCAGGCAGTATGACTAGATTGCAGAATGCAAGAAGAGGAGAAATGTATACGAAGATGAGAAAGGGTGCCAAGCAATGAAAAGCTTTAAATGGCAAAAAGAGAAGTGTATATCTTATTTTAGAGGTAACAGGAAATAACTTGAGGAGGAAGTCCAAAAAAGGCTCACTGTAGGAGTCCTGAGCCGAGCCTGAAGGAAGCTAGGGATCCTAAGAGGCAGAAGTAAGGAGGGAATGCATTTTGGCACAGAGGGCAGCCTGCATGAAAGAAAGGAGGTGAGAGATGGAGTGCTATGTTTGGGGAAGAGTTAGTAGACTAATTAAACTAGGAAGTAGAGTACTAGAAAGAATATAATAATAAATAAGTCTTGAAAGAATTCAGGAGTTGAATAATTCCTCCTCCTCTGAAAGAGCTAAATGCTACTGGATAAAGTTATACAAAAAAGATGAAGTCATATACCACAAAGGTGTATCACCTAATCTCCTACTTTAAAAACAGAAGTCATCTTCTGTGAGCTCCTTCATCTCCCCTACTATAAACCTAAAAATCCCTCTGCATTAGCCCTATCCTCTCCTTCCCTTCAGTCCTTGAGGAAGAGATGGTATTTTTCCTTACTAAGTCAATCCCCTCTGCTTTTGGATACCTCTAATTGTTAGGAAGTTTCTTCCTAACATTGGGCCTGAATCTACCTCTTTGCAGTACCTAACCATTGCTCCAGAACCTCTCCAGTGGTGCAAAACTGAACAAATTCAGTTCCTCCCCCACCAGAGAACCCATCAGACTCTTGAAGACAGTTTTCACATCCTCCCTCTGCTCTCCCCATCTTCTGTTCTCCAATTCCATCAACCAATACTCATATGACATGCACTCAAGGCTCTTCACTAATTGACCACATCTCTACCATTCTCAAAAGACTTCAATGGTTCCCTATCAACTCCAAAATAAAAGACCTTGGCCCAACATTTGAAGTCGTCCGAAGTATGACTCCCACCTACATTTCCAGTTTATTTCATATTCATCCCTTTCACATGGTCTATATTTCAGCCAAGTGGCATACCAACTATTTCCCAGGTTTGACACATTTCTGATGCCTGTGCATCAACAAAGGAATTCATCCATCCCTGAAATGCACTCTCTCCTTCTCTTGGTACCTTAGAACCTCTAGTTT